GCATGTAACTTAACTCAGCCTGAGCATCTATTCTTCATTACTGCAGATCTGAATCTACAATAATTTGTTTCTGTGCTTTGATACCTGGGACACAAAATTTAGCTACAGTAAACATATAGTTAGGCTTACTGTCTGATAAAAGAAAAGCAAGATAAAACTTATCTGATCATCATAGCATGTATTCCAACAAGGGAGAGATGAGAGATTTTCAACTACCTTGATAATATCAGCAGTACAACAAAACATGTTGAGTGGTTTTTATCAAATTTGAAGCACAGGGACAAGAAAGGAATTTTGATTAATCTACCACTGACAACTCCTGTAGGTGAGACATGATGTCTGGCTCTAAAAAAGGCTCACTACTGAGCAGGGGATATAAGTGTGGTTATATATTTATTTGGTTCCCATACAGGGTATTCTAAATGCTCCTTGATATAAGGTCAAATTAAACTAAGCTCAATCTGTTGTTCAACATCAGGTAATCTGGTCTTCATAATTTGAAAGGCTTGTTTATATTTTAAGGACAATAGCTGGTGAAGAAGGAGACCAAGAGAGGCAGTTTTCTGGAGTACTAGTAGATAACAGGAGCACTGAAATTGATCCCTCAAAACTAAAAATGGTCATTTGAGCCAATAATTAATGAAGAATGGCCACATCTTTGCCTCTGCTTTTAATGATGCTACATCCAGCCTTGATGATACATTTGATACACATTTGGGCAGATGGAAAATTGATTATAGGAACTTACTTTGGACTGTTTCTATGGGTTTATAATTAGGGAATAGATCTGTGGGCCATAAAGCATTGGGGCCATAGCCTCAAATAACTTCAATGCTGCGGGAATACATGAAAGAAACTCAGTAATGCTGCTGAGCTCCTCAATGTTAATTGTTTCATGCAATCTATATGAGTTTTCCAAGGGCCAGTAGCGTGTAGGATCATTCCCAGATGTTTGAAACTCTTCACTTGTTCTATTGCATTCCCTGCAATAGTCCACTTAAGTTTTGTAGACTTTTTAGCAAAAATCTCTTCTTTAATTTTCTGGTAATTAATTGCCAGCTGTTGTTCTTTGTGGTAGTGAGCCAATATTCTAAAAGGTTGTCTAAGGCCAAATGAGTTTGGCCTCTACATTATTGAATCTTTACCTAAAATACAACCCTGTTTGACTTCAGTTTGAATAGGTGTTGGATTGGTTGGCACAGATTATCCCTAATCTCCCTAACAGATTATCTGGCTCATTCTAATTTACACCTACCTCAGATTGTGGGTACTAGTGTACCTTTCTCCTATATGCCAATAACATGGCTTCTATCTCACAAGCCTCAGTTGGCCTTAGACAGCTACTCAGAATCTTGGCTGACTACCACAAAGAACCATGTGAGTTACATCTGACTCTATTAGAATTTTCATACAAATGTTGAATGAGAAATAGTAAATATCTGTCTATGCTGGCATTTTCCAATTTCCTGCATTACGTTTCTCTCAGAATGGGATCAAATGCTGTTTAGAACAGTGAAATTAAGCAGCCATGTTGTTTCACTTGACCTCACTTCTGAGGACTCCTCCAGCTACTGGACCATAATGGTGGCGGCAACCTGATGCAAAATGCCACATCAGGGCAAATTTTATCACTTCTTCACTTCAAATTGAAATGTTTCCCAAAGACTAGAAATATGATAAACTAAAGGTTCAGAAGGATGTTTTGTGTGGCAGAATATGATTGACAGGAGCAAATCCTGAGTAAGAGTACATCTGTTAGGAGGTAAGGATAACCTGAAACATTTTCTTGAAAGACTTATTTGCCTTAATAAAGTAGAATTGCAAAGCAACACAGAGAAGATAGCTTGGATGAGAGACAGTATGAGTGCAATATCAAGGCATTGCTTAGGAAATATGGAGGAAACAGGCTTAAGTAGCAGCTGAGGAACAATAGCATAGATCAGTGATGGCGAACCTTTTGGGCTCAGTGTGTCAAAAATTCGGAAAATGCCTAACTTGACTCTGTTGGCAT